CCACTCTCCCTGCTTGTGTTCCCTCTCTCGCTGTGTCTCTCTCTGTCAAATAAATAAAATCTTAAAAAAAAAAAAAAAAAAAGAACCAGATCCAAGCTTTGTAGGCATGGAGAGGATGAGAATGGGGATCAATGGAAGGCCCTCTCTGACCACCAGGGGACCAGGCTGGGCCCCTGCCTGCTTGCTCCCCTCAGCAGCCTTCGCTCGGAACCATGATTGCTGCTTAGTTATTTGCCCTGAGCACCGTTGCATTCCCCTATGTCTGGCAATGTGCTGACACTTAGTAGTTGCTCAGTGAATTGTGATGGACGGCTGACGGATAGGTGCATGGAAGGAAGGAACGGTGAACATCAGGATAGGTTCTGGAGCCTATACTGGAGTGTTTGAACTTGGTGGGTTCCTAAAACCCTCTGTGGTTTGGTAGAATGGGGTATTCCTAGTCCTTACCTAACAAGTAGACTAGTTAAGAGTATCCAGTGAGCCCAACACACGTGAAGAGCTTAGAACCACCTCAGCCACAGAAGAGCTCAGTGAATATTGCTTCTTGTTAACTATTATAGAAGAAAGAGGAAGGGGGGATGAGGCCTGTTTAGTCCAAGGAATGTGCTGGCTGGGGAAACGGGTCAGGGCTCCCCGAGACTCCCGTTCTGACCCTTTGCCACACCATGTGTCCCACGCAGATGAGCAACAAGCGGTCCAACAGCTTCCGCCAGGCCATCCTGCAGGGGAACCGCAGGCTGTGCAGCAAAGCCCTACTGGAGGAGAAAGGGCTGAACCTCTCCCAGCGGCTGATCCGCCACGTGGCCTACGAGACCCTGCCCCGGGAGATTGACCGGAAGTGGTACTACGACAGTTACACCTGCTGCCCCCCGCCCTGGTTCATGATCACAGTCACACTGCTGGAGGCAAGGACTGGGGGAGGGGGGGCTGGGGGGAGCTGCTCAGCCTTGGGGAGAGGGTGGGGGCAGGGGAGCAGGAGACTAGCTGAGATCCAGAGGGGAAGGACAACATCTTCTCCCCGAAAAGGCAGTGGTTGAGGATCAGTTGTCATTTGCCAGTCTGGCTCCATGACAGTGCCTACAAGTGTGATTCCAGCCCCTGGCCAGACTGCAAGGCTACCCCAAGGATTATTATCAAGCAATCCTCCCCACAGCAAAATCCCCATATTTCCACCCCTACCAAAACCACAGCAACACAAGCAATGTAATAAGCTTGTTGATTTGGGGGTAGTTAACTCATTAAAAGCCGAGTGATTTTAGTTATTTTAGTTCCTCCCTGAGTGAGTAACTTGGGCAAGTAGTTTGCTCCCCTGGGACTCCATCACCCACCTGTAAAGCAGGGATAACCAGACCTGCTCCCCTCCCGTAGGACTCCTCTATTCTAGAGCAAGAGTGGCTGGTGGTGCTTTCTGAAGGCAAAAGCATTACAAATGCATATGGGAGGGGGTGTTTATGAACAGGTAAATGTGGGCTTAACATTTTGAAAGAACCTTCTCCCCTTAGGGAATCATCCATACCTATTGTTATTCTAACCGTCTTCTGCTTATGCAACAGAATTCAAAGGGACAAATTTCTGAATCAGTGCCCATGTGTGAGAAACTCTGAATCCTTTTGTCTGTTCAGCCTAGAACCTTGTGGGCTCCCAGCCCCAGCTCCTGAACCGTGTGCTATAGTCTGCAAAGGTTTCTCTTCCAGAGCCATGGGCCTAATTACCACACCCTCCCCCTCTCCAAGCATATGTTCTTTTATTTTTTATTTTTATTTATTTATTTTTTAAAAAGATTTTATTTATTTATTTGACAGAGAGAGGCACAGTGAGAGGGGGAACACAAGCAGGGGGAGTGAGAGAGGGAGAAGCAGGCTTCCCGCTGAGCAGGGAGCC